CCGCTGCCCGCCCGGCGGACCGAGGCGGCTGGGCCGCGGGGAACCGAGGAGGGCCGGGGGGCCTGGGACTGAGGCGGCCGGAGGCGCGGCGGCGGCTGCCGCCCCTCGCCGGGAGCCGTCGGGCCGCCCCTGAGGCGGCGGCGGCGGGGTCGGAGCCGCCCGTGCGGGAGGGCCGTGCCGCCTCCCCCCGCTTCCCGCCCGGTGTCACCGTGTCCCGGCGGCGGGTACCCCAGGTGGCCCCTTGCAGGGCCCTGCTTGGGTCACACATCCCCTCGGCAGGGCTGTGCCTGAGCTCAGTCTGGTTCTGCCTAATAGCATTGCAGTTGTTAATCGGTGTGCGTTCGGTCAATTTTTAAGATGTATTTATTCTTTTCCGACTCTTTTAAAACGCCGTTTTGAGTGCTGTAGGATGGGTAATTAAAGAGCAGCGTGCCTTGTGTGGACACCGAGCAAACCTGTCGAGGTTCAGAATGAGTCAGACAGCTTGGTGACTGCACCGATTCCTACAGAAGCGTTTCCATCCCATGCTACTAATTAAGGGCAAATTATTCTGTCTAATTTGTAGAAAAGGTCTATTCAAAAAATGCAAATGCAGCTCTACAAAGAAATTCCAGTTGTGCTTATAAAATCAAAACCAAACGTTCCCAAAGAGCGAATAACAAGGTAACTTTTCAATTGAATTTGTATGAAATAATGGAAATTACACTTCAAAAGTGTCATTCATAAGGGCAAGCTCTTAATTATAGATTATTAAATGATTCAGCATGGAGAGCCTTGATCAAATATGATACGCTTTCATGATCAAGTTCTTATATCCTAAGACCCAATTGTGACATGAACAGTAGGATGTATTCATAGCATATCTATAACATAAATATATGATATTCACTAAATTTGGATTTATTTCATTTTGTATGTTTCTCTTTGTATTGCCTTTCTCTTCCTGAGTGCGTTCTTAAGGCTTGCTCATTTTACACACTCAGGTTTGTAACCCAGGTGTCTTGAGTGGGTATTTCACTACCCTGGGCAAGGACATGCCCTGTCTTGAACTGACTAAGCCATTGGAGATGCACAGCCCAATCTGTGGTGTTCTCATGGTTTTTAAAGTTACAAGGAATTTTAAGGTAGTTCCCACTTCTTGTTAATCCATTTCACGCCGGCAGGGACAGCAGCCTCCCTCCCCCCCAGGAATGGGAAAGCGAGTGCTGGCTGTCTGGACCTGCCATGGTACTGCATGCCTGGAGTATCTCTGCCTAGCTGGTTGGTGGTAGAGCCTCTGTACCCTCATCCTGTGTTTGATGGGTCTGGAAACTTTGTCTAGTCTATCTTTCCTTTTATCAATATTTCATGAGCATTGAAACTGTTCAAAAGCATTCTGTGTCAGCATATTCCACTCTATACTCATTCATTGCGCTGCCCACAAGTCTGTACCAGTCAAACATTGCCTATGTGTAAGGGATGCAGAAAGGGAAGAAGGGCAAGATTTCCTGCATCTGCTAAAAGAAAAGTTTTTGAAATGTCTTCAACGTTGGATAAATTCACTGCTGGCCACATAGATGTGGGAGTGAGTCCATCGCAAACATATTGAGCCAACCTGGTATATACAGCTTAAATACTGACGGTGAGGCCCAGCCTTGCTGAGTGATAGTGTTGCTCAGCTTTTGCACTTGGATAGAAGAATGTTTTTCTAGTTAGCCAGGCTGATGGAACAGGAGTTGATCGCATGGGTTTGTGTGGTGAATTTTAGAAGCTCTTTTCAAATTGTTTTGGCCATATTGCAGTGCTGTGCTGACTCATAGTTGTCTCGACCTACTTTTCACTAATATGTAAAGTAAATCCAGATATGGAGACTGATTTCATGAGCTTGTTAAATTCTGGCTTACTCTTATTAGAGTAAAAAACCTGTTCTGTGAGGTTTGAGTCCTCGATTGCTTTCCTTTAGCAACAGCATTTGCTAGCTTTTAAAATGAAATTCTGGAGGGGGAGAGAAGTGTTTGCTTTTGGCATGGTAGCATTTTTACACAGGTCATTTTCGCATTTGCACTGTCTCATTTCAACAGCGTGTCCACTGTGTTTTGGCATTCAGAGTTGAAAATAAAGAATTATAGAGTTTTGGGTATATCCATAATGTGTTTCCTTATTAAGCCTTAGTTATGCATGGGATTGTAAAACTAGAATTTCTTTTTGACTCCAATTTGTGCAGAAGTCCAATTGATTTACTTCTTAGTATTGCTTATTTCAATTTACATGGAAGCTTAAATATCCCAACTTATGGGAAATTATATTTTTAGTTCAGGGTATTTAAAGAAACAACCAAACAATCAAAAATACAACTTACACATGGCTCTGGGGTAGAAACTGTTAATATATTAAAATAAAGGTGTAATTATATTACCCGTGTATGGATATTCGCCTTGCATTTTTAACACTGAATTCCCTTTGGTGGGAATAGAATACTTCAATTTCATAATTATAACTTACTTCAATAAAATCAATGTATAATGTTACTGACAAGCAAAGTGGAGATAGTTTTATGAAGCTTAAAAGAACTAAGCATTTTTCAGGACACATGATGCCAGTATATTTGCTGATTTCTATTTATTTCATCCTGTTTTGCAGGTGGAACTTGACGTCTTGCGGAACCAGCGTAGCCAGCTCAGAGTGCAGTGAGGAGCTGTTCTCATCAGTTTCAGTTGGTGATCAGGATGACTGTTACTCGCTACTGGATGACCAGGAGTTCACCTCTTTTGATTTGTTCCCTGAGGGCAGTGTCTGCAGTGATGTCTCCTCTTCTATCAGCACATACTGGGATTGGTCAGACAGTGAGTTTGAATGGCAGGTAAACCAGTTCCACTGTAATGTAAAATTTTGTATAGACTGTTAAGTACTGGGTTTAGCCTTAATTTGAAAGTCCTCAGCCTTTGTTTCTTGGTAAGTACTAAACATAAGAGCAGGTATCTGAATCTTCAGCGATAAAGACAGTGTTTTGTTCCATTTAATTCCAGCACTTTCTGGAGGCCAGACTAAAGATCAGCTCTTCAAAGAGGGATGCTTATATACTATGGTAGTTTGGTTTTAGTGACCAAGATGTGTCTTGTAGCCATGAGCTTAGATCCTTTGTACTGAGGATCTTCCCTGCTGATGAAATCTGGTTATACATGTCTGCTCCCAGTGATCTGGTCATACTAAATCTCCCTTTGGAATGGAGCTGGCACCTTGGCAAGAGATTCTTTACCTTCGCTTATTTCCATCTTTTTTTTTTTTTTTCTGTGCCAGTAAGAGTACAGAGCTCACTTTGTCTCACTAGGATGGGAAAAGTGTGAAGGTGAATCACATCCTTCTCTTTCCTAGTCTGTTGGATGCAGTTCTGGTCAGGTATCTCTAGTTTGTGGTAGTCATCTTTGTTCTGCAGTTTTCCAATTGTGATATGCAAATATTTATATATATTATAGGCTTAAATTGACTTTTTGTATTATAGACTTAAATCAACTGTGAACATATACATAACTTTGAAGTAGGAAACACGGTGCTTCAGAATATACTGAGGAATACTTTTAAATTTTGCTATAAAACTTAGTCAAAGCATGTAGAGTCTTCCAAGTGCAGTTTGAGGACTGAAAACACTGATTTTAAGAAAGCACAAATCCTGTTCCAGAATGAATGAAGGGTGCAAATGAATTTAAGATAACGTGGACTGAGACTAGCTCTGAATTTTTTTACTGTTTTAGTCTGAGTGCTAATCTCTGTATATTGTAACACGGAAGTTACAAGTGCATGTGTATAATGCAGCCTGGAGGAACAACTCAGATTGGATCCCATTTCCCATGTCTTAGTTAGCTGACAGTATGGTTGATTAGCAACTAGCCTTTTTTATTATTCTTTGGTTTTTAAAACAAGCATTTCTTAAGAGACATACTTGATTGGACTTGTAGAATTTTGGAAAGACTTTTTTGTAGCTCTTTATGATGTTACCTGGCAGAATCTGAGCATGAGTAATCCAGCTGTTACATTTTAGCTGAAAGTGCATTTAGAAATTACATGCCAGTTGTATAAATGAAGCTACCTGAAGTTCTGCAGTTGCTTACAGGAAAATGACAGTGATTTTAATTGCATTGTCTGGTGTAATTATGGGGTGTGGTATAAATGACAAAGCTACTTTGCAATATCTTCGTTAAACTAGACTTGTGCTTTAAAATGGGAGGTTTAGATTTAGGTTTGGATTGTAATGGGTGATTTACGCTGATGGAGATGGGAAATAGTTGAAGTGCCACATCATTCTGCTGTTTTCTTAAATGCAATTTTTTAAAAGGAGGATTGATATGTAGAGGATAGTGTGAATTGAGTTTGCCATACTTGCTGTTTGTTGGAAGATTCTAAGGAGTACTGCAATGTTATGAGTAATTATTAAGAAGTTGTTAGAGTACATAGCAAAGCAACGCTTTGCTAATTTGTTGGCATGTTTTGAATTGTTAATAGTGTTAGAATGACTTTATATCTGCCTACTGTATTCTAAGGCTTTGTTCTTTGTCTTGCATATTACAAGTTGCCTGGCAGCGACATTACAAGTGGGAGTGATGTACTTTCTGATGTTATACCTAGTATTCCGAGCTCTCCCTGCCTACTTCCGAAAAAGAAAAACAAGCATAGGAATCTTGATGAACTTCCATGGAGTGCAATGACAAATGATGAACAGGTGAAACTGACTTTTTTTTCCTATGTGAGAACTGTAATATGCAGAAGAACTTTCAATTAGTGCCACACCTTAAAAGACACTTGATTGCCGTAGGTGTAAACGTAGACCTATGCAGTACTGCTTGATTCTTGAAACCAAATCTTGTCTTTTGCATCTGTAGTGGGTGGTTTAATGTGTACTTAAGTTTTCACTCTGTGTTTTTGAGGATACTCAATGAGGCTAGAATCATAGGAAATGTGCTATTTGAGCACATTTTATTCTGTTGGTGTTTCCTTTTTTCCGTTGCTTGTTTAGAATCAATAATACTTTAAAATGACCCACCTTTCTTTGGATTCTAGGTTGAATATATTGAATATTTGAGTCGCAAAGTTAGTACAGAGATGGGCCTTCGAGAGCAACTTGATATCATTAAAATTATTGATCCTGCTGCTCAGATCTCACCTACAGATAGTGAATTCATTATTGAATTGAACTGTCTCACAGACGAAAAACTGAAACAGGTGAGTTAAGGTTTGTACATAAGACTTTGGGGTTTCAGCCTCTGATATGGCCTGCAAAATCTCTTACAGAGTTGCAATTAATTTTTATATATGAGCATTAGGTATAGGGAGAGACACTAGAGCACAATATTGTCAATGAGGGAAATGAGAGTTCAAAAGCATATTGTATGTATTGAACCTTTATATGAAAAACTGTAGTTATATATTCTGAATACATGACAAGCCTAAGCTGGCACTTGTATAATGAGTTATGCTGTGGATCCAGTACTGCTTATGACAAAGCGCATTCCACTTCATGGCCATCAACTGGTTGGGGATCTTCATTTGCTCACTGAATATAAACTAGCATTTAAAACTCCAAAGGATTGGAATTCACTGGGGAAGACCATAAATTTGATGTAAAAAGGGATATAGAAAAATGCTTTTTAAAGATATTACCAAATAAAAATTATAACAAAGAATGGTATATTCTTAGTCTTTGTATTATTGTGATGTGTTGTTGTGAAAAGATGCAGTATCCAAACAAGCTGAACTCCTCAGCCTTACTCTTTATTTGGGATTATGATGCAGGTAGAGATTGGAAATGGGAAACAATCACTGCTTTTATGAGCTTGACCTATTTGTTATTTCAAATGTTTTATAAGTATCAAAGTAGAAAAGTACTGCTTTTCTTACAGCTGTTTTTCTCTGAGTATACCTAGCAAAATAAAGGGGTTTGATACATTAAGTAAATTACTTAGTTCAGTTGAACTTGACCGATTTTCCTTTTTGGTGTTATAATAATAACTTATGTATACGTACTACGTTATAATTATAACGTAGTAGGAAACTTGGGAGAGAGGAGAGGGGAAAAAACCCAAATCTTGTTACTTAATATTAACTTCATTGTTAAAGGAAGAAAACTAACTTAGTTCTTAGTTAAGTTCTCTTGATGTCTGCCATGTGAGTTGGGATTTAAGCAGCCGCAGCAAAATGTTTTAAAAGACTAACTGAACTGATCCAATAACTTGATCATTATTAAGAGGCATGTTGTGGTTTTTTTTCCATGAAAAGGAGTATCTCAGTACAGTATTTATCAGGCTTTGGTGATTCTGCTCCCTCTGTTCTAAAGGTGAGAAACTATATCAAGGAACATGGACCTCGTCAACGGTCTGCCAGGGAAAGCTGGAAGAGGAGTAGCTACAGTTGTGCAAGTACCAGTGGTGTGAGCGGTGCCAGTGCCAGCAGCAGCAGCGCCAGCATGGTCAGCTCAGCCAGCAGCAGCGGTTCCAGCGTGGCTAACTCCGCTTCAAACTCGAGTGCCAACATGAGTCGAGCGCACAGCGATAGTAATTTGTCCACAAGTGCTGCAGAACGAATCCGGGATTCAAAAGTAAAATTTCTAATTATGTATATGCATATTAAGCTGTCTAACTTGTTAAGGTTACTTGTAGGATCTTAACTGGTGTATTTGTACTGAAGGAGCATGGTTAGTAACTGAGGATCTGCTGAAGTTATCTAGCTAAACTAGTGCTGCTTCCTCTGGCGTGACCATAAGGAATTTAAACTTTTCCTCTTCCCATCACTTCTCTTCTAAGTGAAGGCCTGATGTTTGTATATAGTAGATCTTCTCATTACTTTTGTTTAGAATAAGGTGAGTGGGATTGAATAAAGGCTTATGCATCTAAATTAATTCTTTGAATGAATGCAAGTTTTAGTGAAAAAATTTGTTGAAGATTGATCAATCTAATCTAGGCATAATTGCTGGAGTGTAAAGGTTGCGTTGGTTGTGTGTTGTTTTTTTTTTCCCACTAGAAGTTTTATCAGGCTTTTTGAATCTTCTTCAATTTATTCTTCCAACATGTCTTAAGAGATTCCTTGGTGAGGAGTGACCTACTGAAGCATGTTTCAGTTAAAATAGTACTGTGGCACTTGTCTGTCTCCGTAATTTCAGTTTCAAGTGTGGAGGAGAGGAGCGGTTCCTGCTTGCTCTTCAGCATCTCAGGTTGTTATTGTAAGACTGTAATATTTCTGCTGCAATAACGATTCTCCTGATCAAAGACTCAGCTGTGCAACATCACAGGGTGATGATGTGCCTCATAACTCAGATATGGTAAATGGTCTTGATGTTTTAATATCAGATACGATTTTGGATAATGTTTGCACCACCTCTGAGAATTCATTTTAGTTATTTTTCAGAGCAGACATTATTTTAGAATTTAACTTATATTTGCCAACTTTAAAGGTGGCTTCTAATCTACAGAACAAAATCTTACTTTTTGTCTCTTCTGTATTTTGATAGAAACGCTCCAAGCAACGGAAACTACAGCAAAAGGCCTTACGCAAGAGACAGCTGAAAGAACAAAGACAAGCTCGTAAGGAAAGACTGAGTGGATTATTTCTTAATGAAGAAGTGCTCTCTTTAAAAGTGACTGAGGAGGACCATGAAGGAGATGTGGATGTTTTAATGTGACAGGGGGGAAATTATCAGTGTTCTTTCTAAGCCTTAAGTGTATTATCCTTATTGTTTACATATATTTCTTGACCAAATTTTGATTAGTGCTAACAGTATAAACCAGATCTTTTCTCAAGCGTAATTTTGGTAAGAAGGTCAAAGTATTGAGTAACTTCAGCTTGTTGAGACTAATGTTGCAACAAAGACTTCAGAAACTTAACTGACTTCTGAAAAGCTGCTGAATAGATACAATTTTAAGGAAGTTGAACTTGGCTAACATGCCAACTTACTTAAAGACCTAAGTCTAGGGGTGCTTTTGGATGACACTAAGCATGCATTGCTATGCTTCTGATTTTTTTTTTTTTCCAACTTAATATTATATTTGCCTTGTTCGGTTTTCCTTCCCCAGTATTAGGAAATTTGTTTAGCATGAGGGAAAAATCTTTAGTTCTATAGGGGTTTCTTCAGTCTTGCTCTTGGATCATACAAAATCAAAATACTGTGATAGATCCTTTTCTAGAAGTTGCGATTTAACTCAACACAGAAAACAAGAAGCAGGACTTCTAATGCAGGGAATCTGTAACACAATTAATGCCTAATAATTTAGTTCTTTAGGAAGCAATTAGAATTCAAAAAAACTACTTGCAAGTTTAGTCTTCAGAAAGTTATTTTACTGCTCAGTATCTTATAGCATGATTGTTACTGATGGTTGATCAGTACATCCCTAGTATTGCTATGAAAAGATTCAAATGAAAACATCTTTATGTGTTGGAAGTACACTAATCTGCAATTAAGTTGTCCAGGATACTACTTAAAATAGTTAAAAATGCTACTGGAAACTGAAGTGCAAACAAGCATCATACAATGCTGGTCGCTCTTTTCCCCAGAAGCATATCTAAATAGATTCATGTTGTTGGCAAGAGAACTTAATTAATGCAGCTGTGCTTTTTAATTGTATGTTTAGCTGAGGATGTGTCTTCTGTGTGGGTTGTTACACCATTACATGTTACAGAATTCTCCTTTTGTCTATCTACTTTTGAAATTTCTCTTGCTAAGAATGAGGTAAAATCGTGGCTTTCAGGTAGGGAGGTAAAAGTAGTTTAAACCTGCTTCCTAATTCTGACAATCTTTTTAAGGTGATTTTTGTCTTTATCTTGGAACCACTTCTTACAGAACTCCTTTTCCCCACAGCTGAGATAAAAATGATACTTCTAAATTTCAATGTGAAACTTAAAAGATCATGAAAGTGTTTTCTAGTTCTGAGTTTAGAAAGTAATTTTTCATTATCTTGATGGTTCATTACTTTCATTTTGCTCTGGTGAACTAAGGAGTTTGGCAGTTCAGTGCGGCCACAGGTGCCTGTGATCGCACGATGTAGCCCAGTCCTGCAGAATTGCATGGTCAGCTCTGTATAGGACTTCTCAGTCATTGTGCATGTCCTGCCCAGACTTACTAGCCCTGACAGCTGAAGTATTTTTCTTTCAGAGGTGCCATTCCTTGTAGCCTCAAAATAAACCTACCAGTGAAATATCCGAACAATGGCCTCTGAAAGGGCTTTGGTAAATCAGTGAGGTCCATAGTCAAACTAGTATGCACCAACTTAGTCACTCTTACTGCTGCTAGACAACAGGTACCCAAACTTGGCCACTGATTGATTAAAATCTATGTAATGTCACTTTAAACTGGAACGTTAGCAGTCCTGTGTGGCAAATTATTTGGCCACTAACGAGAAGTGACTGTTACCTGTCAGTATTTGCTTATACTGCACTATAGCTCGTTGATGGCTGCCTCCCTCCTGTAGAAACAATACCCAAAACTTTTTAACAGTGTATAAGTTACTGGGAATTTAGATTCACTTAAATCTGGAGCTTCTTTTAAAAATCTTAGGTGAGGAAAAAATTGAATTGCTGTCAATTTGGCTAATTTCAGAGGTGCAGTTGTTGAATTTTTACAGCTTACCGTGGCTGTAATGGATGAATTCATTGTGAAACATTATTTTCTGCAGTGACTTTGAAATGTGAAATTTTTTTTGAAGAAAAATGCATACTTAGTACCATAGAGACTTGAGACTCTGAATTGAATTGTAAGAAAGGTGCAATATCTCAGCATGGTGGAGCATGAAATTGTGTCACTTCATTTTGTTTCAGCAGCTCTTCAGAGTTTAAAATTCCTCAGGCTTTGTTGAAAGAAGACCCTCTCATTTTGATGAGGTTTAGTTCTTTTTGGTCACCTGTCTGCAAGTGTCCAGAGATCATGAAATGAGGGAGGATAGGATTTCCATCTTGATCTTAGTATGAGCATGTAAGTATAAATTTATCCAAGTGATTGGATCGGTCCAGTTGCTCATCTGTTACATTGGATGAAAAGGTCTTGGATGCCCCAGTAGCTTATTGTGCCATCTGGGTACTTCAGTCACTTGTGTGCACAGTTAAAACAACAGAAGAGAGTGGATTTCCAGGTGTTCCATGGTAATAATTTATAGCTCTGTAATCTCGTAGTCCCAAAAATGCTTATGACCTAAGAATAAAAACCTCTGAGTGTTCTGATAAGACTGCAGGATAACATCTTGCTTACCTGAACGTTGTCTCTGCCAAGTACTTGGTATCTCAGAGAATCAGGCCTGAAGTAGCTGTGGGATTCAAGAGTTCTCACATAATTATATGTGTTTGGGTGTTTTTCCCTTTTCTTTTCACATCCCTCATAGTTCTAATGACACACTCATTTTGTGGAGGGTGGAGGTGTTCTTGTCAGATTCTTGTCTTTCCCTGCAATATGCTGTGTACTTACCCAGGGATGTGGTTGAGTCGCCTCCCCGGAGGTATTTAAACGACGTGTACATGTGGTGCTTAGGAACATGGTTTAGTGGTGGTTTTGGCCATGTTAGGTTTACGGTTGGACTCGATGATCTTAAAGGTCTTTTCCAACCTAAATGATTCTATGAATTTGTATTGGATACCCATGACACTAGTCAAACAGTTGGAATTTTAGTTAAACCTGGTCTTGCTGATTCGGGTGTTGGCCATTGTGGCTACTGCTTTGTTTTACAGGAAGTTATCTACAGATTATTTGGTTCAGATAGATAAAGAAGAGTATCAGACTGCTAAAATCATGCATTCTTATTAGTGCTTTTTCAAAAAGAATCAAATCTCTGCTTTTTCTTCATAGATAAAAAATGTCAAGCTTAAAATCAAAATTGAGATAAACCGGAAAAAACTCATAGACATATGGCTCCGTGGTACTGAAGCTGTGTGTCTAGGTGCTTTGTACCCACTGTAACATGAATGTAATCAGTTTATACTCTGTAAGTTTAACGGTTTGATTCCATGGTAACTATTTCTCTAAAAAGGCTTAGAAGGAGCACTGAAAGTCTGATTGCAATAGGACTGTAAACAATAGAGAACATCCTTTTCTAAAAATATGAGGAAGAAAATTAACTGCCTGACAAACCTGTCTAATTTTCGTCTGTGTATCTAATGTCATCCTCTGTCTCTGTTAAGATATTATCTATTTTTCTTTATCTGGGAAACTGAGTAAAGATGGATATAGTATGCTTAATATGGAGTGCTTACTCAGAAGAGTAAGAAAAGTCTTTGCAAGGCTTTCCTGTGCTTGCTTAACTTTTAGTTCTCATATTGTGGTTTGAAACCTGTGAAGATCATTCTCTGGGGGAAAAACCAAACCAACCAACCTGCTTGAATTTATACATATGCATTTACATCAGAGTGCGTATACAATATAGAAACATATAAAAATGGCAATATTTACATTTCATCTACACTGAATGGCTTGAAGCCATTTCTTTTCTCTTAGCACTCTTTCAGCTCTGAAATAATTTGATGCATTGGTCTATAAATATTAATAAACCTGACTGTTTTGGGGTGCTCTTGAAGTTCATTCTTAAAAGCCAGATTTTCATGGCGAATGTTGTTAGATTTATTGGTTTAATGTTCCTTAGCTTACTGATCTTGCAGTTCTTGTGCATAGAAAGACAACTCAATATACAATTTTCCATTTAAGGATTGCAAAGATAGTTTATTAATCTACCAAGAGCAAATCCTAGTAATGGTCAAAGCTTGTCTATTTTGACTATTAATTCTGATTAATTGTACTTGCATTCTCCCTCATCTGGCTAACTTTAAAACATTTCCAAATTACAAATAAATAATTCAATTTGAAAAGAAAATAATTGTTACATTGAAGCCTTGAATATAGTTCATAACCAAAGCAAGGGGAAACTGGGGGTTTGTGCGGTTTTTTTTTTTGTTTGTTTGTTTTCCTGGGGGAAAGAAGAGAGTATAGATTAGAATATATGGTACTGCTTAAATTGAGGATGGTGTTTTGTTTTTTTTTTTTCCCAAGTTCTCTGCTAATTGTATTGCTAAAATGCACTTTTGTATAGAAGACTGTCCTCTGTACATTCTGTATTTACTTTCCACAATGTTTATAGAGATTTTTCTGAGGTTGTGAAGGATTTACTGAAAGCTGCAATGCTGGTGGCTGATGCTGTTGACTTCAAGATTTCATTGTATTTGAAAATAGTTATGTGCATATTGAAGTACAGGTTGGAATTAAAATTGATGACATAGCAAAGATATTCTGATGAAACTGTGGTATCTTCTTCAGACTAAGGGAATTTGAATATGTAGGTCTTGCATACTCACCATTCAGACAAAGTACAAATAAAGTGGCACAAGTTAACTGGTCTTTGTGACAGAAAGCAAACCAGTCCCTCCTTAACTGCTGTGGTTTTCATCCACAAAATCTGATCAGAATTGTTTCATAGGAAAACAATTATATCTTGTGAATGGTCTTGTACTGAAAGCTGTCTGTCCTTAGTTTTGATTTCTGTGCCAGAGGATTTTCTTCTATATATGCTATATACTACATAGCTGTGGGCAGAGGAAGCCTAATCACTTTTGTTGCCAGCAATAACTCTGAATCTTCTTCTGCTGTCACCCTCAGTACCCATAGCCATCAAACTGTCACCTATCCTGTGATGTTTAAAGTCCCTAATAGGACTCTTAAGCTTACAACCTCCCGTGCTCTTACAGTTCATCATTCCGGCACCTGCGTGTCACTATTGTAAATCCAGATCTCATTTCCTACAGCAGAAGCAGGTGTACTTGGGGATTCCACAAGTTGCCGTGATGCACACCAGGACATGCAGCACCAGCAAGGACACGGCAGTGGCAATGGCTCTGCAATCACCAGTGGTTGAGTAGGCTACAGCGAGGACATTTGCCAGCTGCTGTATGTCCTGTGTGTCCCTGAACCAAATTTGCCTTCTGCAATACTGAAGTTTGCAGTGTAATGTTACTAAAATTCCTTTTCCCCCTGAAATCCAGCAGAAAAAAATCCTGAAAACCTGAGAAGAGAATAGCTGGCAGAAGGATGTATCCCACATTATTCAGAAAGCCTTCTGCAGCATCTCGGGGATCTAAACTGCCTTGTTCATCCCAGCTCAGGCTCATCACGCTTGTAGAAGTTGATTTTCATCAAATGCTTACAGAAGTTGACTAAATGTTACCATCCCAGCCTGTTCCTGCAGATATGGAGGGACAGAGAGGGACAGATGAGGGCAGAGACACTGCATGTCACAGCAAGTCTTGTCAAGCTGTCAGAGACTTTTAACTGTTGTGGAGTCTGCGACTGGGAGGCTGTGGAATGTAACTGCAGAAGCTGCTGCTCTTGTGGTGCTTTGCCTTCACTTCAGCAACTTGCTTGGGTTTTTTGGTCAGTTTCCGCCCAAAGGTGAGTGACAGTACAGAGTGTTTTGCAGCAAAACAAATCAAACTGTTGCCAAGGATCTTGATCTGTTGTGGTGGTCGCTTGTAGTGAGGACTTACTGCTCCAGGAGTAGCACCTGGAAGCTGCGGGGAAATTGATGCTTACGCTTTCTGAATCATAGACCCTCAGTGAGTGGATCTGCTGTGCTTTGGACCTCTGAACTTTCCCAGCAAGTCCTGTTGCAGCGGGTCATTCCCGAGGTATCAGTTGCATGGATGAATTGTCACACCTCCTGGCAAACACTGCCTGCTGTGGATCTCCTATTATCCCTCCTTAAACATTTCTTCATTTATCTCTCAAGTGTATCGAGTTTCACTGCAATGAGGACATCTCAGTGGCCAAATGCTACTTGGGCACAAGCTGAACCAAAATTTCCACACTGGCAAAACTAATTGATAAACTTCCTTTATTAAATTGAAAGATGCCATTTGCTATGATCTTGCTGTCCTCAGCCCTCCCTTACTACTGGCCTGAACCATACACTTGATTCAAACATTTCCCAGTACAGCAATAGGCACAATTTCATTTCCCAAGATCCTTGTGTGTGCTTCTAATTATCCTGTGCCCTACCAGATAGAAAATGCTTTTTTTCATCTCCTTCCAGAATATTCATCTCTTGTAAATGGGTTGTCTGGTTCTGAGATCAGAAATGTGGATTTAAATTTAAATTCAGAGATCTCATTTCATGCTCTTTTCCACATGGCTTGCGCTCGGCAGCACCACTGGGGTAAAAACTTGTTTCTCATAATGTAGACCACATTCTTGAGGCCAAAGTGTGATAATTCATCTTGGATGCAGAGCCTTTCTAATGCTACTTACATTGAAGAACCTGATTTATTGCCATGAAGAGTCTCGAAGAAAGAAGATGTATTGCTGTAGCTGAAATTTAGAGTTTGACTACTGACTTGCTGTGATGTTAATGGCAGGTTGGTAACTTGCCCATGCGAGTCGTCACTAGAGGGAGCACCGTAGTCATCTTAGTGTGCCTTTGAGACTACAGCTGCCAACGTGCTTTGCTACAAACACTTTATTCTGTTATGTCCTATTAAAAAAAAAAAAAATAGGAGGATTTTCTCCTCCTCTTACGCAGTTTTTGAAGGAGAATTATTTCTGTTAAGAGTTAGTTTTACAATAATAACGTTTCCAGTGATTAGGGAAAAAAACTTGCTTTTTCTCTTTGTGATGATTGCTAATTCCTGCCTGGTACTGCTTATTGTGATTGAAAGTTGGAAGTATGTTTCTCTTTGGTGTTAAATTTTGTATGCATGCTGTATTGCTGCTTTAATTTACTGGTCTCTGTTTCAAATTCAGCCTGCCTTATGTGGGCTGAAAACTTTGCAGTTGAAGCTATTAAGTAACGACAGAAAATAAGCAGTCATCTTCTACTGCGCTGAGTCTCGTAATGTAGATACCTGTCTGTCCCTGGAAGTCAGGGGAGAGAAGAGGTAGCCTTTATTTTTTTGAATAACAACTTCTGAATTGGGCTTTGGGGCTTCCTTTGGAGCAAACTAAAATAGTGCTTAAACAGGAGCTGTTATGTAGTTGTCTATTTTTTTTTTTCCCTCTCTACTTGTTTGACAATTCTTTCTATCTTTAAAAAAGCTTACTAACACATAACTGCAGAGAGCACGTGAAGAGTTCTCCCTGGAGTCTCAGGTTGGTTCTGGAAAGTCAAGCTTTTAATGGTGCTGTGCAGAATTAGGAAGGGTTCAAGCACTTGGATGTGATTGTGCAGATGTGCTTGTGACTGTCATCCTCTTCTCTGTGCTGTCATAAGAACAAAATGCAAAGGAAACACAAGTTTTAGTCATCAAGTGAATTACTTAAATCTTTGCTCAGTGTATGGCTTGTAAGGTTCTTGGTTTAAAATGGTTCCATTATTACAGTAGAGAGATATTTCCTTGCATTCAGCTGGGAAACTGCTGTTGGGCAGCCTTGAGCGTGCTGGCTGGCTGCAGGGTGATCTGGGGCAGTGTCTCTGGTCCTTGCATTAGCCATACATACATAAAAGCAGTATGTTCTCAGTTCTAAGTTCTTTTCACAGATGTATCATCATGCAAATCCTATGCCCCAGGAACATTCACCTTCACAGCACATTTGGTTGCTGTTCCTTCAGCTCTGGGAGAACTGATGTCAGTTGATTTAGTCCTTCCTTTCTTTGTTCAGTGTAGGAATAAATAGATCAGTCACAGGGTTTTGTTTCACCTTCCTTTGGGCATAATCGTAGTAAAGGAAGAGCTGAGTGAGACAAGTTTGTTTTAATAACTGGCCAGTTCTCATGTATGGAGAGCTTCTTTCAGACATAGCTTAGATAATTTTGTCAGTTTGATGTCTCCTGCATTCAAGAGACATCTAAAGGTGTGATGCCTCAGTTACTGTCTTGAGGGGCACTGGAAGTAAGTAAGAACTGTTAGCAACCGGTATATTCTTTGAGCAATAAATGTTCCACATGTGCAACAGTTTTGGGCATCTCCAAGGAGCTTGTACTTGACCATTTTCCTACGCCAGAGCACAGTGGTGTGTTTGCCACCTGGCTGGTACCTGTGAGTGGTGTGAGAGCAGTGTGAGCTACTTAGCAGTTACTGTAGATTATTTTTGCTTAGGACCTCACAACTCTTGGATGGTTCTGCTTGGCAACTCCTCTCTGCTCTACCAGAATATAGAGCAGCCTGGGGACCTCACCAGCACATCCCTTCATTAACACTGCTACATTGTGGAGAATCTGATGGCAGTCTTGGCATAAACCTCATGTTTTCCAGATGGCTGTGTGATTCCTGGTGTTACAAATACTGCTGAGCAGAGCAAAAACATCGTGTGTGTTAGTAGTGTCTAAAAACTTGTGAATTAAATTACGGTGCTGACTATATGACTTTCACCATGCAGTCACAAGTATATTTATTATATTCGAATGAGGACTCCCTTCTGAAAGCATGCTGAATGCTGAAGTTGATCAAATTGTCATGTATTTATTTAATGTTCTTTAAATCATGTTTGATACTTGGCCAGCTCTGCTTTCAAAGAGTCCCTGTCTGGTTGTACAGGGATCTGGGGCCTATTGTGTCTAGGACTGGTACAATCCTTTGCCCTGGAAAATTACCCTTTGTAGGTTGGAAATGATCACTCCAGAAACAATTTGTATTGACAGATTATGTAGGTAGATAAAGACATGTGCACGAGTCTATTCAAGTATTTAATTTCATTAATTTCAAGGTGAGAAAGAAAAGCACTATGGTGCTAGCAAGCCTTTATGAAGTTTGAAAGAATATTTTTTTTCTGCTTAATTTTTAAATAAGGTGAATTTATTTACCAAATAGAAAGTATTCACAGTGTGTGTATGACTTATAAACATGTCGTTCAACAAATCCATGCACTTCCTCCTGAAACAATTTAGATCATAAAACTGTTTGTAGAAGTTACAAATGTTAGTCAACCGAAAATGAAGCAGTCTAAAATCTTAGTACAAACCCATTTGCGGACTGATAAACCCATTTGCGGACTGATAAAATGAGTGTAATTTATGGTCTAGATGCCTTATTGGCATATGTATTAAAATTCTGGTATATGTCTATTTTTCTTAGTATTGCATTAGCTGTAATTTCTATGTAATGCTTCAATTCATTTATATATTTGCACAACACACTATCAGATAAAAAAGTGCCAAAATGTGTATAAGGAGGTCATCACTTTAGCTTAATTGCGCACAAATTTCCTGCAGACTCTGATGTTTAAGACCAATAACGAGACTGCTACAGCTAGAATAAACGCATTAGCCTATAAATTTAGAGCTTCTACCTGCTTCACAAAGGGAGAATC